GACGAGCCCAAGGACGGGCGGAGTGACGACGTGGGGTGTACCCGCGGTAGTCTCGGGACGAAGCAATCGGAGGGACTGAGTAGTGCTAGGGATTGGGCGCCGGCCGTGGCAGGGCCTTGTAGCTATGGTGGTTGGTGGTCTTGGGAGGTTTTGAAGGCTGCGCCTGGGGGCGGCAGTTAATTGAGAATTTTTGTGTACAAGAAGGACTCGCTTTATCTCCATTGCTGCTTTGTCTATGCATGACGTGTGCGTGAAGCCCCGAGTGATGGGAGCTGGTTGTGCGCATGAGTGATGTCGAAGGTCTATGGATGATTGGACGTCCTGTCAAGGGTTGTTGATTGCATGCATGTATGTGTGTATGTACTTATCCGGGCGGGGAAGGGGGAACTCAACTGGAGGACCATCTGCTTAGGAGTACGAGTGTGTTGATCCTGTTGTTCCCCTCCCCTCCGCGGCCTTTCCTGCGCACACGAGCAGTCCCGGTGTAACTCACTTTCTCTCTCTCGATCGCCTTTCTTTTTGAACTGATAGTCATCGCTTTTGGAACTTCTCGTCCCTGCACCGGTGACGTCAACCTCCTGCGTCCGTGCGGGCGGTCGACTCCCCCGGAAGGGGAAGGGAGCTTAGATTTCATCATCTTCTTCCGACGAACCCACCTTGAGAGAGAAGAGTTGCGTCGAGTGTTGTATGGAGCCGGTGTTGGTTCGGATGACCGCGAGCGCGGGATTTTGCCCATGTTCATCGCTCACCTGAGTCACCTCCGATCGTCTCATCTCGCTACCGACCTTCCCCATTGCAGATGACGACAGCGTCTATTGCGATGCGAATGTACGGCGTGAGCTGAGACGGATGGAGCAAGTGTGTTGGCGAGACCCGCCCCGGGCGTGTAATATAGGGGGGAACAGGTGTGTCTTGATTGATCGCTTTGATTCCCCGACTCTAATATTGCCTTATACGGGTTTGATGGTGTTGCCCTGGTCGGCCGCTCACGCCGCGTGGAGGCCGCAGTTTGATTGTCGCTGGTGTTGCCAGGGGGACTCGTGTTCTTGGCGATGCTTGGTCCTGGGTTATGAGGGAGCGACACGTTTCCCCGAGCTCTTCCGTAATGCGGGGGCGCTGCCCGCACAATTTCGAATTCGGATGCCGACGAGTCCTCCCGCCGCTTCACCCTCTCGGAAACTTTCACGCGGACTTTGCTAGTCCGACGCCGAGGCTTGAAGGCCTCGAACCAACCACTTCTACAGCAAAAACCCGACGGTCCGGTCACTTCACGAGGCCGATGACGAGGCCTGAAGGCTTCGAACCCACTACCTAGCCCTCAAACCCATGACGGTCGGAGTTTCTGTCTTCTGCCTCCATGACCCTCTCCCCTTGATGCCCTTTTCCGTCCCGATGCACGACGGTAGTTCGTTTTTGCGGAAACCCTTCTGATTTTATCGCTCCGAAGTGATCCGACTCCCATGGGACTTCGCGACGACAGTTCGACTCCGGGGTAACCTCTGGCACGAAACGAGAGCCTCCCGTTTCGTCCGGGAGACTCAACCCCTATGGACAAAAATCCTCGGCCACGCCCCTCCTAGAACTCTGATTGGTGACCCAGTACGGAACGCAGCGAGGGGGCATGAGGTTGGTATCAGAGCTGATTCGTTTCGGCTCCGAGGTTTTCCTAGGACAATTACCCTGTTTAAGAGTTTTTCCTTTTTGATCTTTTTGGTAGATTTTTCACATTTTTGAATAGGCTGGCTCCCCGTCGACGGCAGCCCGCGAATAGCAATCAGAACCGAGCGAGAGGCCGGGCTCGAGGTTCGCCTCCCGCGATGGTTTAACCCGGAATTGGGGGTGGAAATGACCACGATAACCACGCGGGGATGGCGAATCATCCCCTGTATTTTCTACCTCCTCCCTCCGAGGTTCCCATTTTTTCCGAAGATGATACCGACCCTCGCACCTAGCTAGCTGCCTTGAAAGCCCAGCACTGGTCGGACCAGTTGCTCCGAGAACGAATTCCCGGAAGGTTAGCCGGAACCGCTTTTGAGTGGTATGGACAAAACCCTTTCACTAATTGGTTAGCCTTCCAGAGGAAATTTCTCGACAGATTTGATCACATCGCACTAGGTCAATGCCTTCGTCTAATAAAGGAATATACGCAGCAGCCTCGGGGGACCTTTGCTAGATACGCTGAACGCTTTACGTACCTAGCTGAACGCTCCGGGGTGGACGAGAAAATGGTACGGACTGATTTCGTCAAAGGATAGTCAGATTCTCGCCTGCGGAAAAAGATCCGCAAGAAATGCAACCCTATAGAACATACCTCGACAGAGTTAATTCAGTACGCAATTAAGTACGGGAAAGAAAATTACGATGTGGGTCTGGACTCGGAATCCGACGAAGACAACCCTTCGGGTGTTCGACGCAACAGCTACTCCTCTACAACACGAATGTTCGAAGATCGCTTCGGGTTGGGTCCGGCAAAAAAAGGCTCGGATCGAAAAGCTTCTTCCTCTGCTTCGACCTCCCGTCGCTTTAATCAAGCACAAGGAGGCCGGGGCGAGGAAGAAGTGTCCATGAAAGAGGTCGCGGCCCAATTAGTTACGGTAGTGGCCCCGTTGACGGAGTTTGTTGAGGGCCTGCAGCGGCAGTGCATAGCCGCCGCACAATGGCAACAAGCGGCTATGGCCGCCGGGGCCCCTATGATAAGACCGACCGTGGCCGGGGCTGTCCCGCCCCTACGGTGTTATAACTGTAATCAGCCAGGCCAGCTTGCGAAAGATTGTCCGAAACCTCGAACTCAGGGTGGGCCCGCTGGGCCCACCGGACCTTCCCAAATCCCGCTGCCTGCTCCAACCGCTGCAGGACAGGGGAGGGTAGCCACAGTAATGGACACAGGAACGAGGGAGATGGTGACCCCTCCGGCCACCGAGATAGGGCCCGATGAGTACATGGCTGCAGCGATGTTCGAACCCGGGACCATTGGAGTGATACGTCACGTCCAAAGGATTACCGAGGAAAGCGACCTTGGGCCGTGGCGACCAGGGTTCGAAGTTTTTGCGGCACCTGGTCCTGAATACAAGGATGGCCATATCGACATATTGGATGCGTTGAAGGCCCTGGATCTACGGATCCCCGTCCCTATTCCCTATCTGCTAACCATTTCCGAAGCGGCTAACGAAAAATTGATCGAACGATGTCTAAAAAACAGGCGCCGATTCGAGGAAAGTCGAAAGGGCAAAAAGTCGGTCCCACGGGACCTACCCACAAACGAGGAGTCGCAGCCCTCGACCTCTAAGGTGCACGAAGTCAACCGGATAGGAATGATCCAGACCGTAGATTCTGCTTCGGAAAAACCCGAGGTATTCCTCCGAGCCTATCCTATAACCTGGAAAAGCGTTGAGTGTGACTGCGAGGTCTGGGGAAACCCCTCGGCCGGCATCCTAGACTCGGGATCGTCATCGGTCGCCATTTCTTGGAGATTGACGAAACAATTGGGAAGGGAAGGACAGGTTCAGCCCCTTCGACCAGATGAACTGTATATATCCGCTACAAAAGACAGTATTCATTGTAAAGGGCGAATAACGAACGTGCCTATAAAGGTGGGGCGGGTGCATTGTTTGTGCGACGCAATCGTGCTGGATGTACAAGCGTATGATGTTCTGCTAGGCATTCCGTGGCAGGTGGCGGTCGGAGCGCGAATGCACTTTGACAACTGTAAGGTGGTGCTCACATCGGCCCACCCCAAACCACAAACGATACCAATGAGATTGGCGGTGCGTATGCGTACCCAGCCGGCGCCTTGAATCACCACGAAAGCCCACCAAATCAACATGATCCGACACCTGTCGCCAGGCGAAAATGAAACCTCGTCCGAAACTGTCTAGACTGACGTTCCCGACCGATATCCGATTCGGGTTCAGGATCGGTGGCGCCATTCCAGGCGACGAGAACGCCTGGAAATAGTTCGGAGCGAGTCCAATTGGTCCCACGCGTTCTCCTCAGTGGTGCAGGGGGAACCCCTGCTGAGGGTGTCCCGAATAGCTGACCTTTCGGAACCCCCTGCGTCCTTATATCTCAGGACGGACCCCCTACCTGAAAGATTTACCGAGCTTAGGGGGCTGTGCGATTTATCTTTTTGACCTCCACGGCCCCTACTCACGAATGAAAAAGCCGCGATACTCTTGAAAGAGGGGGTGTCGTTTCAACCCCGAACAAGGGAATATCGGTAGGGACCGAGGGAACTGACGCAGGCCTTTTCGGTAGAACCCTCGGCCGAACCCGAACTGGACAGTGACCGTGACATGGAAAGCGGGCCGATGAGTCCGGCGGACAGTCAACTTATTGCGACTGTCCTTTCGGCGAAAACCGACAACTCTTTGTTTGGGGCCTCGCCCGATGCCAAGGCGGCGGTCCCCACGGTTATGACGACGGTCTCCCTTCCTGGGGGAACCATAGAAGTTCAGTTACCAGCCCGTGTTCCCGATGAATACAGACGCCTCCTCCTGGCGGTTATACGGGCCTATCCTGAGGCCGTCAGTATTCAGGACCACGACATAGGGCTAACCCCTTTGATACAACACGCGATTGATACTGGGGATCACGCCCCGATACATTGCCGATTCGTACCGATAGTCCCTTAAAGAAAGACAGCTGGCATTGGAAAGGGTACGGGAATTCGAGCGGTTGGGGTGGGTCGAACCATCGCTGGGACTGTGGTCTTTTTCCGTGGTCCTCGTGCCAAAACTAAATGGTTCGGTCCGGGTATGTATCGACTACCGAAAATTGAACGCTATCACTGCCAAAGATGTGTATCCCTTGCCGCGAATCGACGATTTATTAGATGCTATTGGGTCCGCTCGAGTTTTTTCCAAGTTCGATATCCGACACGGTTTTCACCATGTCGCAGTCCGACCGGAAGACCGACCCAAAACCGCTTTTGTCCTATTTGAGGGCTCGTGGCAATGGGTCCGGTGTCCCATGGGAATTAGTAACGCCCCTGCAACGTTTCAGCGGGCCATGAATATGGCCTTCGTTGAGTTCATGAACAAAACCCGACTAACCCAACCCCTGATCAATTTCTGCGTGATTGTGTACATGGATGATATTTTGGTCTTTTCAAAAACACATGAGTACCACGTGGAACACATTGAGTGGGTTTTGCATGCACTAAAAGATGCGGGGTTCAAAGTGGCCTTGGAGAAAAGCGAGTTCTTCTTATTGGAGATCTCATTCTTGGTGTACATCAACCTGTTGAAGAAAGAGGAGCAGCTGATCTGGACGCCGGAATGCGAAGCGGCGTTTCAGGCGTTGAAGGAGGCTCTGACATCTACTCCTGTGTTGGCGCGTCTCGACCCGACAAGACCGTTCGCATTGTACACCGACTGGCAGCCGCAGGCGATATCGGCGGTGCTAACTCAGCACGGGGCAGACGGAAGGGAACACGTCATTGAGTATATGTCCAAGACGCTGAGCCAGGCGCAGGCTAATTACGAAGCGTGCAAAGGCGAATGCCTGGCGGTGGTGTGGGGGATTCAGCATTTCCAACCGTATCTTTACGGCCAGAAATTCGTGCTGGTACCGGATCATCAGCCGCTGCTGTCCCTGCGCAACAACACGGACTACACGGGGACGCTGGGAAGGTGGGCGGTGCGTCTGCAGGACTATGACTTCGACATCCACCACCATGCCACGCGGCAGCATGGCAACGCTGATGGATTGACGCGCCTCCTGCCGCCCAACAAGTGTCCCGCCAACGAGCGACTCATTCCTTGGAGGCCAGAAGCTGCAACGAGGAAACCGCGCTACGGGGGGATACACGTGCTGCGCAAGGACGACGCCTGGGTCTGGAATGGAGGTTTCGCCGGAGATGGAAGGCGCTATCTCTTTGCCCTCATCCAACTCCCTCGATCTCTCGTCTAGTCCCTACTCGTCCCCTTAAACACATCTAAGTCCCTGTTTCTTCTGTACCTTGCCTATGGTCCCGGACCAAGAAGGGTCACATCCGGGAGGGCCCAGTTTTCTTTTGTGGGTGCAGTGTAGTCAGTGTCAAGCGGTCAAATCCCACGAACAATGCGTTAGGTACCGAAGTGAAAAGACGTGGGTCTGTCCCAACTGCAGAACGGACCAAGTCCCTACCGAGAAACGGTATGTGGACGCACGGACAGCTGACGGATTCGCGCCAAGTGCCCGCCGGGCAGAAGTCTGGATGGACCTTCTGTTGCTACAGAGGCTGTCAGGTGACTGGCTGTCAGAACTTACCAAAGCCGAACGGCGGGGAGTCACGGAGCGGGCGCAGGACTATCGCTGGCAGGGACCGACGTTACAAAAACGAAAGTCGATGATGGCGGAGGCATTAGCTGATGGACAGTTCCGCACCCTTTCGCTAGGCTCGATTGGACACGAGCCGCTCATGAAGAGGATGCGGTCCATTTCGTGGTCAAGTACACGGAAAAAGCCATCGAAAAGAATGGATGGTACTGGTCGGGAATTCGGGAAGATGTGAAATACATCGTCCAGAATTGCCCGGCCTGCGCGGCGGACAAGGCGCCGGTACAGATGTCTCGAACTATGGTGCCTACTCGTGTAGAGCACCCCTTTCAGAGGGTTAGCATCGACACGACGGATATCAACGTTTCGAGACGTCCCGTCGATCAGGGAGAGCTCGATGTTCTTTTAGTGGCCGTCGATCATTTTTCGAAATGGATCGAGGCGTACCCTATGACCAGCCAGAATTCGCAGGAGGTAGCCTGGTACGTAAACCGATTTTTGTGCATGCATCTAGACGTAGAAGAGGTACACATGGACAATGGGTCGGAATTTCAAGGCGAAGTAGAACGTCACCTAGTCAGGACGGACGTTAAGATTATTTACTCGCCGGGGCATTGGCCTCAAGCCAATGGCCTGGTAGAGAATGCCAACCGAGACCGCTCTTAGACAGAATATCACTGCGAGAGATACCCGACCCTGGCCTGTCATTGTCGACCACATTTTGGCCGTCTATCGGGCTACCCCACACGGTAGTACTGGGGTGTCCCCCTTCCAACTGAGAACCAATAGTGTCCCTCGGGTGTAGTTGTCCCCCTTGGTAGGTACGGAAGTTAGAGCAACACGGGCCCAACACGGAGATAAGGCCCGCCACTACATGGACTTAATGGCTAGGGCCTATCCCCCGTTAGCTCGCTGGCGACAGCGGGTCGTAGATCGGACGCATCAACGGCATATCCGCGATTATGAGAACCGACATGCGTCCGCGGGACCACTTCCTCGCTATAAAATTGGGGACTTGGTGCAAGTACGGAAATCCGCGCGCTCCTCCAAGATCCACCCGCGCTACACAGGCATTTACGAGGTAACAGAAGTTGGCGCACAGGGACATCACTCCGTGAAGCGGATTCCCCGTCACAACTCCCAGGCCCGACCGCTGACACGGCACGATGCCGCGCTCCGGCCCTTCCAACCATCGCTAGGCCCCATACGGACCCCCGCTTCTACGAGATCATCCTCTCCTTCTTCGTCTCCCTCCTCTTCCCGATCTGCCTCGTCCATTGGTGCTGAGAGTTTCAGGGAGCAAGATGAACCATCGCCAGATGGAGCATGAGCCCCTCGAGCATTTCCAGACGCCGCTTGCAGATCGCTTGTTGCGGCATCAGTTCAATGAGGAAAGGCAGTTGCGGTACGACATTCAGGAGGTGAACGTGCCAGCGCCCGGGGTTGCTGATCTGGCGGCGTACTCGTTACTTTGCGATCGGCTGACGTATGCGGGGGTGTACGTGGACGTGATGCAGTTGCCTGGGCGGCAGACGACTCGAGTGTTTATTGAGTTTCGTGCGCTCCAGGTGGCACCCAACTTCGTGCATAGTGTCGCCACATTTATCGGCGACTTGACGATCCTGCCACCGCCGAGTCGGGAGCTGGCGCGAAGTTTTGTGTGCGAGTACGCGGTGCAAGCGGCCAGATCGGTGGCCAGAGTGCAAGGACGGGAGGGACACCGATTCACAGCCCACGAAACGCTGTTGCGCAGGGCAGAGGACGGACCGATCGTGTTGGTGCCGCAGCTCCCCGCGCTTCTTCCTCCCGCTGCCCCTCTGAACTTCCAAGCTCTTCCCCCTGCCCCGTACTAAATGCCTCCCTTCTTCTCTTACACCACTCTCCCCTATCAACTCACGGAGGGCCCTTATCCTATGCGCGAGTTCTTGGAGTATCTGGTGGAGCTAACTGACGTGGAACCACTGCCCTTCACAGACCAAGACGCGTGGGAGTTGCACCGTGTGCTGTACAAGTCGGTGGCGTTGGGGATGTTCCGATTCTTCGTGGATCATGAAGACCACTGCATCGAGGAGCACTTCGTCGTCTACTATGTCATCACATGGACCAAGCCGGCGCAGAAAGAGGGGACGGTGGTGCTGTACCCATTCGCCCAGCTCCAGATGATCGATTCGGGATTGTTGGAGCTCATACATCTTGAGCTCCTCTCCATTGCGCAAGTGATCGTGAGCGAGGAAGAGGAGATCCCGCCATGATTGCGGACGGCGATGGCCCCGCGGAGAACGTACAACGCGGTTGTCATCTCGGATTACATTGCGCAGTGCGCGGAGAGGTTGGAGGACTTCCCGGAGGAAAAGCCACTGCGGCCTCCCTCGTAGTATCCCCGACCGGCGCCACCCAAGGCCCCCAAGAAGACGCCGAAGAAGAAGAGACGCCACCCGTCGCCAGGAGCGCAAGGCAGCAGAATCGGCGGTGGCGAGGAGGTGATTCAGCCCGCGCGTACGCGGAATCTTGACCCCGCGCCTGGGAGTGCGGCGACGCTTGTTAAGGCGACTGTTGCCCGATCTCAATCTTGATGGAGCCGGGCCATCAGCAGCAGCAGCAGCCAGGGGAGGAAGCCGAATGGGAATACCGGATCCCATATCCAGACCCCCCTTCCTCGCGGGACCTCTCCGCTCCCGCCAGCCGCCCCGGGGTACCCCGATCATTGACATCAGCAGTTCCTCCGAGACGGACGGTCCATCCGACAGAGGTGGATTTCATGGTGGAGCCCACCACCATCAGGCTCGTGGTCATCGCGGGGGCGCGGCGCCCTGATCCGGTGTGGGAGCCATATCTGACACCCCTTTTTCAAGGGTGTATTGCGGCACGATTGGCTGGGACGCTCATCTATGAGACCGGGCAGCGTCCCAATGTGATGTACCACTTCCTTGTCTTCGCGGCGCAGAAGCGGGAGCGGCGGCCTTACACCGAGACTCATGTGGTGATGACGGGTCCAGGGCCCCGATCGGTGCGCAAGCGGGTGATGCGAGCGGTGGCGGATCTGGCGCCACGTGTCCTGTCTCATGTGCTGGGGGCCTTCCTCTATCCCTCGTTCGTCTAGCACCACTTCCAGGAGGAAGATGCGCCGACGACTCCCTCGTCAATGGCCGCTTTTCTTCCACCTATTCCGCCCCCTCTCAATCCCGACATCGATCACTTCCTCTGAGCACCCTCGTCCACCTCTCCCCGCTTCTCTCCTTCTCCTTCTCTTCATCATCTTCTTCCCCTATGCCCAAAGTTCGCGCGTCGAAGACGAGCTGTGTAAAAAAAAAAAAAAAAAAAAAAAAAAAAAAA